AGATGCTGTGATTTTTGCAGAGACTTTATTTCAGTTATTCTGAATTAATGACGTCTATTTACCATACTTTTTCTTAAATGCTTTATTTTAAAGTTGAGAATAGAGTTGATAAATCTAAATATTATCCATTTCAAAATAACAGTTTTAAATTACAATCAACCATAGTAAAACTGTATCATCATCAGTAACCATCTTGAATTCAAACATAAAACCCATTCAAAGTAATACAAAATGAGCTTTAAAATACAAGTTGATATTTAAATCAAGTACAATGCATTTTGTATTTAAGTATATTAGAATGATATATAACATAAAAAGGTAGATATACAAGGAAGATATACAATTATGAAATGTAAAGGGCAGATTCAGTACCTTGAAGACTTAAAAATAAAAAGCAGCAATATGAAATGGAATTAGCATGATATTTTGACATATGAGCCTCAATTCAATCCTGGAGTAACTTAGTTGATTTTTTATCTAAGTCGGATGTCACTAACTCAGACAGTTCAATTTTAGGGGATTACTTCACATCTCGAGTACCGATTTTGGGAAAAGTTGGTGTTTTGCATTCCCTTCAGAAAAGTCATGCTTGGGCTCAATCTGATTTGCTTGAAGCATGGAGTTTCACAGAATTTTTGATTATTGAAATGGTGGAGTCCATGAAATTTTGACAAGCACGACTCAACAGAAGTTGTACAAATCCAGAATTATTTTGAAGTTATAATTGTCCTATCACCATTGTAGTCAAGAGAAGTTTTGCTTACTTAAGTACCACAGTTGGATACTATGAACCTGACCTGCATCTGCTGAGTACCAACAACTTGTACAACTTTCAGTGGAAAATGAGATGCTCAACAGCTTTCAGGATCATAACCGACATCGACACTTTTGATATATAATGTGGCATACTGCCCTTTTTTCTGTTTGAAAATCTGGCAGTAACACATTTGAGTATTTTCAGTAGATTAAGGGGGAGGAAGGCCAGTATGCCTACTCTGCACTTGATCTTTTCCCAGAGCTTTGCAGACTAAAAATGTCAACAATACCAAAGCTCTGTCCTATGCAGAGTAAAAAAGACACCACTAAAGTAGTTTTGTGTTGTCTTAAATATAATATTCATTCAAAGCAAGACCATCATGAATTCAACAGAGAAAACAGTTCTGCTATGCAGTGGCCTGGAAACTTTTTTGTGTGTGTGGCAAAGTAAAAATAAAATCTTCACTGTGTGTTTGGTCTTTTTAAATGTCTAAAGTGCTTAAGCAAATGAAGAGTCCTTTCCCTTTGGAATAAAACAACGTTTTACACTTCAGCTTGTTTGCAACAGTTCCAGATAGCAGCAGTGGAAAAAAGTGGAAGTGGAAAAAAGCCAATTTGGTCTTATCAGCATTGCAGAATATTTTTCCATCTGAAGTGCTGTGTTGGCAACTTAACCAAAGCCTCATGCACAAATCTATTCCCCCAAGAGCTCTGGGGCTGTTCTACCTTGCATTAGCAGTAATGGTCCTCCAGAGTTTTCATGAGAGCCAGGGATTGCCAGACTGCTGTGTGCTCTGACCATGCCCCCTCCTCTCCCAACAGGGCCAGGCAGAAGCATTTACATTGACATTAAACAACCCAGAGATTTCCCTGCACCACGGAAATCCTCAGCTACCCAATTAAGGTGGCCTTTTTGCATTGCTGGATGCAGGGGTGCTCTATAAAATGGAGTAGGTTGCAGCCTTCCTCATCATTAGCAGGGAGGTGTGGCTCGTGGACACAACAGGGTTCCATAACCTGTTCATCTTGAGCCAACTGGCCAACCCACCTACTAGATGGTGATCGTAGAACTGGGTGGAAAGTTTTCATTAGAAGTTTTAGCTGAAAACTTGGTTTTGAATAAAACAAAGATGTTGTGGAAACTTTGTTTTTCTGAAAAAAACAAAACATGTCAATTACTTGGTTTCCCCCTTTATTCTAGTAGAAAAAGGGGAGGAGAGAGTGGAAGTCAAACAAAACATACTTTCTCACGCATTTTTACTCCATTTCACCCTTTTTTCAATTGGAAAAGTGGGATTTATTAAATTAGGTTTAAAAAGTGAAAGTGGCATATTGTCTCTTTTTTTTTACCTCCCTCCCATTTTTCCCAATGGGGAACCTGAATCTGGAACCAAATGCAGTTCTGCTTGAGCTATGTTAACCTCTTTAATGAAAAGGCAACAGAGAAACAATAATTGAAGTGGTTTTCCTAATTGCTGTGACCTACCTGAGACATGCAAGCTAACAGCCTTGTCAGTGGAGAAACAATAGTGCACTTATCATCCTGAGAAAGTAGCATTATACCAGAATTTACTCCAAAGTGTAATTCAGAATTCCACAGGGCATAATCTGTCCATCATTCTACCTAAGGTGTAATCATCATAAAGAGAGAAAATAGCCCAAATTAGATGTAAAATGAGCTCTGCATATTTAGTTGAAAAGAACTAAACCATACAGAAGAACTCGGTTCCAGTGTAATTCCAGATAAAGAAAGAAAAAAGCTCATGAGAGAGGAGGCACCATCATATAATGCCTTAGGAACTACATCACAAGATTTTTAAAGATCTCAGAAACAGAATGTACTCTGGACACTTTGGGTACACTCTCCCTGATCTCCTGCTACTTCATGGTCAGTGCAGTCCTCTGTATCATCATTTTAAATCTGCAAGTTTACTTACCTTTACAAAGCACTAGAAGCTGAACGTTTCAAGGTTCTGCTGATGAGGTATTGAATAGAAAGGTACTCTATGCTGTGGTATCGTCCTGCTCTTTAAACTTTTTCTCCTTGAATTCTGGTTTGCCTTATTTTTTACGCAGCTTTTCTGTTGACTTTTCCACCTTTACAGGGCCAACAGACTTAGTGATATGAGGAAGAGAGAAAATTAACTTCTTAGCTGTCCATTTCTTTTGTCTGAGGTATAGGGTTTGCTGATCTAACCCATCATTGCTTCAAGGTTACAGAGGTCTTACAATGGAAGAGAATAAAGGAATAGACCCAAACTGGCAGAGAAGAGTTTTGAATGCCAGTGAAGCAAGACTTGCTCTCCCACCCCCAGCTCTGGGATGGGCAAAGGCCAGGGTCTATTTTTTTTCAGCAGCAATGGAATGCAGATCCCTAAGACCACTGACTGCAGGGCCAGCCTTAGGAAAAATGGCATTCTGGGCAAACTTGTATTTGGTGTGCCTAGTGCCCGTAGGCTCCCCTCTATTGCCCCTGGATTCCCCTCCATCTCTCCAGCCCCCCTAAGCTCCTTGGGCTCCCCTTCCCCCCATTGCCCACAGGAAGGACTGCAGATGGAGGAGTTTCTGAGCCCCGGGTTTCCCTTAGCCATATACTCCTGACCACTCTGCCTGTGGGAAGGGGGGACCTAGGGGCTGGTCCTGCTGCCTGCACCTTCCTGCCGGGTGGGCAGCCCTGTTCGCATGCACTTACCCCACTCCTGCAGCCCAAGCCTGCCAGCTTGCAGCACTCAGACAGCACCCTCATGACCACCCTGGGCAGTCTCCCATGTCACCCACCCCTGAGGCTGGCCCTGACTGACTGCTTTCTGGTATCTCCCCTAAGGATACTTCAAGTTCTTCCATTCTCTGATTTCTGGTTCTTACAGATGTATCCAGTTTAATGTCTCTTATCAGCCAGTGAAGAAGGAAACAGTGAAGTTTTATGGCCTATTCTAGACATACTAGTCTGTTCTCTTTTGGTGCCAGAATGATCATGCGGTTTCAGTCTGTCTGAGATCTGCTGTGTCTCCTTTTGTGATCCACAGGAATTTCATGATGAAGACAACCTAGACTATAGAAGCTGTAGAACCTTGAGACTTTCTTGCATCTAGAGAGCTAAAAGACTTCTACCTGCACATACATGTTGTATCTAAAATACTTCCACTTAACTATAGGCCAAGAGTAGTTTTAGTAATCACTTTAACTTTTGGCTTTCGCCAGCATTCAGAGTCTTCATGAAGTTCACTGACACTGCTAATCAGGCTCCCCTTTTTGCTTTTCAGGTCGCATAGAAGGGGGGGAGGGAAGTGCCAGTGTTACTTAAGTTAAGGAAGACTGCATGGTCTGAGGTGCTTTTTATTTTCCGGGTATAAGGGCTAATTCCTTTAGAGTCATCACTACTTTGTTGGTGGAAAAAATCAGCTTCTGTGGAGGTGATCTGCCATGCAAAAACCTGGCATTCAGTCTATTACTTTGACTGTGAAATGGCAAGTAATGTCAACATGTCAGCAGACTTGGCTCTTTGAAGGAAGGGTCTCAGGACCATGGTCCAAGGCACTCCCTAGTTCTGTTATCTTAGTAAGCCTGTCCCAGGTTTACCTGGGGTGCTACTACTTATAGCACAGAATCCAGACTGGTTTTAGTTTAACTTTGTTCATTGATTTTCTGCGAAGGAGAGTACCTGTCTGGAAGTCTAGTGGCATATTTCAGAGTTCTGAATTAAGTGTGGCTGAGAGAGAGGACTTCTTATAAGTCCCCTGTTGGGGACCTGAAGC